ATTTCCGGACGGGCGACAGGGACACTCGTCGCGACTACTCTTATTAGATTTTATGACTAGTCGTCAATCAGAGTACTAGGACGCGTATGCATGACGGATAAAAACTCAGACTAGTCGTGGACAAGTAGTTTTTGAGACAAAGACTAGACGGGACGGGTCGACTTGACTAGAAAAAAGACTAGTCATTTAACCAGTCTTTTGCTCACTTGGGCTATTCATGGTTTACATTGGAAGAAAACAGAAATAATGAAGCTGTTTGTAAAGTATCCACTTGATTTAGATGTAACTTTTTTATGTGTACCATGTACCAACAAGTTCTTTGTATTTATTTATGAAAAGAATTTTACACAGCGACGAGCGTTCTATTTGATTCGAATTATTCTATATCCAACCAAATAGTTATTGAAATATTTTTGTTTCTTTTTAGTAAAATAGTCACATAAGCAACTATCATGGAAGACTTCATTTTAAAAGAACTAGAACCAGGACGGGCAACATTGATTTGGTCTCAAGTTTCGGTCACAACAAGTAAAAAGTCTAACAATGCTCGACAACTTCTGAGGAATGTATCAGGAATTGCGCGATCCGGTGAAATACTTGCTGTGATGGGAGCATCAGGTGCAGGTATGTTCAATACTCTAAAAACAAAAGTCTAATCATTGAGCAATACGAGACATAGTCACTTGTATAATCAGTGAGTATATAGAAGTATGCATGTGAGAGTCAGACTCATTCTATATAGAGTTAGGAAAAAAGTACGATAGTAATTGAGTTTTTACAGTTTTTGATGATTGTTTGTTTTCTTTTTTTGGTAACATTCCTTCGTATTGATGGGAAAATGACAATACATGAACATAACAGAAAAAGCAAAACAGAAACAAAACAACGTACAGTATTGTCAAAAAAATCTGAAAAGAAAGAAAACAAAATGAGACACATGACATTAGTCTTTTATCTCGGAGTTTGGTTTAGTCGTTTCATATTGATGTGTATGATGTGGTGATACTGTGGTATTCATAGTAGTGGATATCATGTTGGTTGGTCTTCATTGTATTATCGTTATTACATAGTATAAATGCTACTAAACGATAGGAAACAGAAATAGCTGAATGTAGAAAAACGAGTCAGCAAATAGATTGACTCATCTTCATACATGTGAATGTAGTCGACTGATGCGTAAATTGGTAGACCTAGTGCAGTTTGAAGTGCTTTATTTTGAATGATCTGTATTCGGTTCCATACATTTTGATCAGCAGTTAATAGTACCGGGTAATCATATATAATGATCGTGCGTGCTATTGATTTGAAGATGTTTATCATCGTCCTGTTGTTGGGTTCGTATGCTGTTCTCGAAAGATATCGAAGTAGACCGATCCAAGGAGCAATCTTGGTTTCGATATGATCGAGACGTCTTCACCAATTTAATTGTCTGTCTATAATGACACTCAAGTATCTTGCATGATCCAACGGTTTATAATTGTATTATCAACTTTAACTGCCACTGGATGTTTATACTTCTTCCTTGGATGAATGGTGAAGTGGACCATTTCTGTCTTAGTTGGTTGCAATTTTAATTTCCATGGCTTGCACCAACTTTCGAATGCATCTACAGATTGTGGTAGTCTGAATGATAGAGATGTCATGGTCTTGGCTAAAGTCCATAGTGCTGTATTATCGCCGAATAACCCATGTTCTCTATGAGTCGGTATTTTATTCATTGAATCTACCGTATATATAATATATAATAGTGGTGATAATGGAGATCCTTGTGGAGCATCGCACTTTAAGTTGAATTGTCTGGATAAAAAAACTCCGATTTCAATTGCGGCGGTTCTATTTTTAAGAAATGATATCAAGTAGTTGATGATGTACTTAGGAAGTCGAAGATCATTCAATTTGTATATCAGACCGTCGTGTCATACTGAATCGAATGCAGCTCTGATATCGAATAGAATAATCGCTGAGTGTCGTCTTGGACGAGCACATCGAGGTTGGCTCTGAGCGTATCGTTCTAATCGCAACGTGTTGTATATTGTGCTTTTTCCTGGTCTGAAGCCGGCCTGATGTTCTGGTAAGATGTTTCGTCGTTCGAGTTCAAGCATCAATCATTGCTTGGTTATTTTCTCCAATACTTTGCCTAAGCAACTAAAGAGACTAATCGGTCGATAACTAGACGGATGTTGCTTGTCTTTCTTCGGTTTCAATATAAGTATAATGTTGGCCATTTTCCACTTCGTTGGAATATAACCTTGCTTCAGAATTTGATTGAACAGCTTAGTTAAATGCTGAATAAGCAATTCTGAAGAGTTTTTTAAACACCTATTATGGATGTTGTCTAGCCCAGCGGAGCTATTTCGAAGTTGCTTAATACGATATTTAACTTCTTCTAATGTAATTTGCTTCCACTTGGATGTGTTTGAAGAGGTTATGTTGTTGTTCTTGATGTTGCTTGCTTGGCTTGTTACTTGATCATGGAATGGCAATCATCCGTGTAAGAGTAGACATCATTTTCGAAGTAATCCGCAAATAAGTCTGCTTTTTCTTTATCCGATGTTGCTGTCGTGTTGTTGTATGTCATGCTGCTTGTAAAAGTTTTTCTTGATTCTTTTGCTATGGAACTTGCGAACTGTAAGCCAAACCTGATCTGAATACATTTTCTTATTACATAAAAACGACATTAATTTGTAAAGGTTGTCTCTTCTGTCATTTCTAAGTGAGTTAGTTAATAAGATTTTGGAGTTGTAATATTGACGTTTGTCTATAACGTCTCCGGTCCTCTTCCATCTTCGGTATGCTTGATGTTTGAGTGTAATCAAGCTCTTGGATGTTTCACTTAATGCATAGCTATTGCTCGTTGATGTAGATGCTGAAACGTCTTCTTGAGTTGCTAACATTATACTGTTGGCAGCAATAGACAAAAACTCGATCGGTGAGATAAATGTTCATTTCAAGCGGAAAAATGCCGCTCAGGTCAAAAATGAATTCTTTTCTCGTTCTGTCTATAACAGAAGACAAACTATGTAAGTATAAGTCAACGTGTGTACATTAAATTTATATCGAGTACTTTTGTCGCCACTGCTCAGAAAAGATATCCGTGCATATACAACATATTCCATGCTATACACAACTTTACAAACACCAAATATGAGTAGCTTTCATTTTCATTCTTCACATTCCTTCTTTCCCAACGATTCATTCAAACCAAACTTCTTACCAGCTCGTTGACATTTGTCACGCATCACCACAAAACTATCAAAGCTTTCACTTATATCGTAAATGATTTTCGGCATCCCATCTTCATGCAAATTTACCGATCATTGTTTTAACCAAAATCAACGATAATCTAACCGACTGTAAATTTTCCCAACATCCTTAGTATCGTGCAAACTCATTTTTTTCTTATTGCGAATGCATGCATGTTCATTTCGATTACATACGAACCCATTTTTCTTCTAAAAGAAAAATGATGTTTCATTTCTCTAAACTATTTTTCCCATCGAGTTTTTCATTTTTCTGCTACAGAATAGATAGATATTCTTACTAAAGATCATTCATAATAGCATTTTTCTTCTATAGGAAAAAAGATGTTTCATTTATGTAAACTGTTTTTCTTTTCCCATCGGGTTTTTCATTTTTCCGTTGCACATTCATTTTTACAGTAGCGTGACATTATTGGGGGAACGGCATATTTTCGTTACTGTTTGTTTGTTTAGTGTGTGTGTCGTAAGTTTAGTTTTTAAGCATTTTTGACCTGAACGTCATTTTTCCGCTTGAAGCGAGTATCTATGTCACGGATCAAATATTTGTCTAATCCTCGTTCAGCTCCAATTTGAATATCGAATATTAATGGTTTATATCCATTTATTGTGCCGATTGTTGGGTGCGTTTCGACATTTCTTATGAATGATAGGAGTGGTTGACTTCCTAGAATCCAATCTAATTTGGCTTCATATTCATTTTTTTCAAATGTTGTACTATCATCGTCGACACAATCGATAATACCTACAATTAGNGAATCCAATCTAATTTGGCTTCATATTCATTTTTTTCAAATGTTGTACTATCATCGTCGACACAATCGATAATACCTTCATTTAGTAGTTCTTGCAGCTGTTTTCCTCTTGCATTTGTTTTTGTTGATCCCATTTCAGATAATGTTGCGTTGAGATCACCTACGATAATGCAGTTGTTGTTGATGTTGTATAATTCTTCGAAGATATTGATATCGATCTTAGCTGTTGGTGCAACATAGATTGAAGATATTAGTGTCGATTTGTATAATAGCATTTCAATGTGAACTGCTATTGTTTCATTCTTGTGTGTTGTTTTGTTGATAATTTCTCGACATTTAATGTGTTCTTTGACTGCTAATAATAACTCCACAACCAGGTTTTCCTACTCGGTCATTTCTGAAGATGTTGTAACCCAAGAGAGAGAACGGTCGTTCACTTTTTAGATTAGTTTCATTTACAGAGATGACGTCGTGTTTGGAAAATCTGACTAGGAGTTCAATTTTGTGCTTTGTAATTGAATTAATGTTAATATGACAGACACTAATCATTGATCATGTCTGTTTTGCGATCTTTGGTGTCCATTATCGTCGAGTCTAGTGAACTGTCAAGTGATCGACTTCTTTAGGATGTTTTTGCTGTTGGCTTCGGTTTGGGTGTTGGTTTTTTAATAATATCATTAGTTGTGATAGATGATTGTGTTGATGTTTGATTTGTATTTGTAGTCGTTGTTGGTTTCGCTGTTGTTACAGTAGATGTAGTGGTTGGTTTATTATTTTGTTTCGTTGGTTTTGTTGTTGCTGTTTCTTGTTTTTATTATTTACTATTTTAATATCTTCATCACTATCCGAGAATGATGATGATGATGATGTTGTATCATCGTTGATTAATGTTTCAACTGATGAAATAGTTTGTTCGCTTTTTTTAATCTTCTGTTGAAGTGATTTAAATAATCTTTTTGTTGTTTCTTCGATGATTTTTTCCATTTCAGCGGTCAGTAAATTGATTAATTCATCGAAGATATCATTGTGTAGATGACCTTGTTGGTGTTGATACATGTTTGGTAATGATGGAAATTCATTGCTATCATGCAATAATCGTATTGTGATTGCTGGGCGGCTTGTGGACAAATATTGGTTAATTAAATTCAACGTTCGCTTTTCTTGTTCTAAAAAGTTAGGTCAATCATTGGCGGTTGCCAAACGTTTACCTTTACAATTGTTGCCTTTAATTTAATTGCATCATTTGCAGCGGTGCATTGCTCGATACTAGCCCTAGTGGAACATCTTGTAAGTAAGATCTTGAAATCTTGGGATTGGTAGGTAAGATCTTATCAAGATCTTTAAAAGATAATTCACTTGTTCAGATCTTGTCCCATCTGATAAATCTGTGCCTAAGATCTTAGCAAGATCATGACAACGATTTCTTTTACTATTATCTTCTCACAAGATCTTGAATAAAGCAGAAAGCGACATCATTAGTTTATTTAGATAGGCTATCTAGTCATTCACCGTTTTTTTATGGATACAGAACAAAATATAAGCAATATGATTGAACATGCAAAAACATAACTTTACAAAATAAGTTTTTTTCTAAACTATTTCTCGACTATTGATTAATCGAGAGGATGCTGATCTCGATCGATGACCGAGAGAGGACTACCCTAAATTGGTCTGGCAAATATCGGACCAACTTAAAGCTGGTCCGATCTCAACATTTGATTTGCTTGAGCTATTCGGGGCAGAAATAGTTAATATTAAAATATATTGAAAACATATCAAACATACTTTCAGAATGCATTATTCAAGATATTATGAATTCTTACTTAAGATCTGTAATAAGATCTTGGGTACAAGATAATACAGTTATCTTGTACCTAAATTTTCAAGATCTGTTCACTTATCTGTACCCAAGATCTTGGCCAAGATCTTATTTACAAGATGTTTCACTAGGAAGGACTATAACAGTTCGGAAACAGTTCCGAACTGGTGAACTGTTCAAACAGCTCTCTCGAACTGAGCTGAACTGTTCGAACAGTTCAGCTCAGTTCAGATAACTGACAAGAGCTATCCTATAGGGTACCTTTAGGATCTCAAGTGCTATATATTAGAGTTACTCTTTGAACCTCAAGTGCTATTCCCTCGACTGTAAGGAGGGTCATATGAAAAAAAATGCGTTTGTCTGTATATGTGTGTTTGTGGCAGGTCAAGAAAACATCTATGAACTGTTAGCTTATTTTCGCGTTTTTCCGGTGACTCACCTCAGTCAATCAGAGGTTTTCGAGTGTGGGCTGTCGACCAATAGGATTTCCTGATGGCTGAGGTTAGCCAATCGGGCATTTTTGAGTGTGAGCTTCTAGTCAATAGGATTTCTCAGTGACTGAGCTCAGCCACCCAGAAATTCTATTGGTCGAAAGCCCACACTCAAAAGCATCTGATTGGCTGCGCTCAGCCACCAAGAAATCCTATTGGTGGAAAGTCCACACTCAAAAACACCTGATTGGATGAGATCAGCCATCAAAAAAGTGAAAATCAGCTCACTTTTCATTGATTTTTTTTTACTTGCCTCCAAGCACACACGCACACACAGACACACAAACAAACGGATTTTCCTTCGTATGGCCCTCCTTTCAGTCGAGGGAACTAGAAGTCCTGAGGTTACCCCTAATATGTAGCACTTGAGATCCTAGAGGTACCCTATAGGATAGCTCTTGCCAGCTATCTGAGCTAAGCTGAACTATTCGAACAGTTCTTTTGAGCCGAACTGAACGTTTGCTAACAGTTCATCGGTTCGTTTGAACCCGATTCGTGAACTGGAGCTGTCGTGGTCCTACTCGATACGATGGTTATCACCACATTTAGCACATATTTGCTGTTTTGTTTTGCAGTACTTAGCTACATGATTGCATTGACAACAAATGTAACATTGTACTAGCTTTTTATTTTGTGATGCAGCTTCAGCATTAAAGTGCATCGAATCCACTTGCAGCCCAGTTGATTGCTTGTTAATATCTACTTTTGCACTCTAGAAAAATATTTAAATCTCAATTAGAATATTTTTTGTGTAATTGGAAAGTCATCCAATAGAAAGTCTAGTACAGCGTCGGTACAACCGTGTGTGAGACTAAACAGAATAGAATCATTCGAGGATTCTGTTAGACTTTACTTTTGTATCAGTAAACTTGAAGAAAAGTCATTTTCTGCCTATCAAGTTACGTCATTTTATTTTATTGTATTTATTAACGGGAACAAATTTTATGCTCAGTATTTTTTAATGAAATCTCAGTCGAATTTGCTCAATATTAAATTCAACTCTCCAGTAAAACTATGAAGCTATTAGTGAAAATTTTGCTGTTCGATTTGTGTAGTTGTTCTTATCACTGTCACTGATACCCATACCCACACTCTTATTTAATATTTTGCTGTCTTGTAATTACACCATTTTTATTGGAATAAATTGAAAAAAATTTAGTTACTGAGCAAAAAACAGTGAGCATAAGTGAAAAATTTGACTGAGCGATCATTGGACATTTCTGAAAAGTATTTTGAATATAATATCACAGTACTCTAAAATTTGCATATTCAAAAAGCTATAGGTATTATACTTGTTAATAAATTTTTTGCGAACTTTTTATAGACACATGCACTAATGTGAATTTTGTGTGATTGTACACTCTATCAGTCTACGATTGTAATTATTTGACAACAAGTAATTTAAGACCTATCGATTCATCTATGCGTGTAATATCATGAAAAACTGTACTTCATTCTTTTCAACGAGTATTTAGAGGTTTTGCGATGAAGTTGGCTGTTATCCCCGATGATAGAAATATATCGAACAGAGAACAAGCTTAATCGCATTTAAGTCATCTGATGTGTATGATAATTAGATACTCAATCATATGCTATTCAACACTATCTAGATGTATTAGTAGATAGATAGGTTCTTGAATTGAGGAAAAAATAATCATCAAGAATACTCTCGAATTGTACGAGAGATTACATGATGATCAACTTATTGAAAAAAATCTTTTAGTGTGCTATTGCGGTTGTATTTTATTCAGTTATCTACAAAAAAATATCTGCTCTCTCTAAAAAAAGGTGTCATACTGAACTTTTTAAAGCTTTTGTTCAGCAACTGCAGAACCCCAATAGGTTTTATATCTCTGTTAGATAGTTACGTTTACCTAACTCTTTATTTCTTCAAAACAACACTCCGTAGAATCACTTCAACTCTAACTTCTCTTAGGTATCTTGACCAATAGAGAGATAACAGAAAGAAGAAGAGGTAGTGGTCGCAGATAGCGCCACTACCTAACAATCTCGCCACTGGAAAAGGGTTTATTATAATACTGTTTTTTTTCTAGAGAGCGAACTCATGAATTACTTCATTTTCTGAGTAATTACTCATTCAATCGTATCCACCTGGTTCATTCACATCATTATAGTTTTTATGAAAAAATCTGGGTATATAGTGCATATAATCGACTGTATAATTGATAAGACGAGCTAGCTGATTCACATGTAGCTCTTATTCATGACGTGACAAAATTAATTTTCTCAAAAATTTTCGACATTAATACAACAAAACATGCGAATAAGTAAAGGCAACTTGTGGAAATTTAAGGTTAGGAGTAAATAGACGACATTTCAAATATTGCTTAGTGAGTTAATGCATTTTTCAAACAAAAACATGTATGTTAGGCTATAAAGAATTCAATGCATTAAAATATACAATTGGTCCTCTTCAAATTTATTTTTATTTTCGAAACGCATTTATTTGCATTCTAAAAATATAATAATTATAAAATATACTATCTTTATTAGGCAAAACCACTATGATGAACGTATTAAGTGGTCGACATGGTCGCTATCTTAACATAACGGGTGATGTTTATCTCAATGATTGTATGATGACACGATCACAACGTGCACTCACTGATTTAATTGGACATGTTGAACAGCAGGAACTTTTCCTTGAAACCACCACATTGGAAGAGCATCTCGTCTTTCAGGTAAATGATTTGCTAATAATGATTTCAATTAGTATTATTTGAATTTCGATCGATCAATCTAGGCGATGCTTCGAATGCCCCAAACTATGAAGGATAATGAAAGACTCGAGCATGTGGAGAATATAATGCAACAGCTTAATGTCGTTGATTGTAGAAATACATTCATCGGTAGACTTTCCGGTGGAGAAAAAAAACGCCTTAGTTTTGCAACGGCTTTACTAACTCGTCCACAAGTTGTTCTTATCGATGAGCCTACTTCAGGCTTGGATACGTTTTCAGCTAAATCACTTATGAAAATTATCCGTTCAATGGCCGTCGAACGTGAACAAGCCATCATCGTTGTACTTCATCAACCGACAAGTGATATACTAGATGTTATTGATATACTCTATTTTATAGTCGATGGTGGACGCCAAGCATTTTACGGTACTAAAACTGAAGCTCAACAATTCTTCATCACTCAATGTCAGTTGCCATCTATGCCACTTGATATGTGCATCGAAAAGTTGTCTGCACCGGCGAGCATCGTTGATGATCAAAGTATGATTTTACAAGAAATAGCAGTTCAACAGTATGGTCGATCTGGACAAGATCAAATACTAGAAACAACAATTGAAAGCCATTTAAAGTCAATAGATAAACATGATATCCCGACTGTAACAGATATTTTGCAGCGTAGCTCATTCGGACGTCAATTGAAATGGCTTCTTTGGCGTTCGTTACTTAGCGCTAAACGGAACTCAAAACGAACGACTAATTTATTTTTTCGTCTTGTCATCATGGCAATCATTTTGGGTGTGCTCTTCTTTCATACGACTAGAAAATCGTTGGATTATATAGTCAACATTGATGCTCTCTTATTTGTTCTTTTCATGTCATTACTCGAATCAAACATGAGTCTGACACTTGTTGAGATACCGAATGAACATGAAATGGTTGTTTTCGAATATCGGCGACATTTATATTCAGTGGGAGCCTATTATATAAGTCGTCTTGTAATTGATACTTTCTTTCATGTGATTTCTGCTACAGTCTATATCAGTATTATTGTATCTATGACTGACCTTCATCATTGGATCATCTTAGTTTGTCTTACAATATTGATTGTAATGACTGCTTGTGCATCAGCTGCACTGATTGCTGCTGTTTCATCATCAGCTCGAACAGCCTTGTTATACTCACAACCGATTCAAAACTTGTTTCGAGCCCTTACTGGCTTCTTCATTAATCTACATTCGCTTCCTGTCTTTTTGCGATGGTTGCCATATATATCTTATATGCATTATGCTTATCAGCTCATACTTGTAGTACAATGGTGGAAAACCGATCTTAATTATCCATGTGATTTTACCACTTCACATAAACTTACTACCAATTCAACATTATTCAACAATGATACGTGTTCAATTAGTGATACCGATATTATTACTTGTTTTCACACCTCTTATAGGACCGTTGGATATAACATGGCAGGACTTATTTCTTTCTTATTCGGATTTCATATTCTAGCCTTTATAATAATCTTCTATCGTATACGACGTGCTCTATAAATCTTACTGCAATACAACGACACAAATCGAAATGCAGGACAAAAAGCAAGTGAGTCAAATGTAAGAAATTTTCGAAAAATATGCACACTAAGCTAGCCGATGTTTTTATTTCGAGATTTTTCATACGCATGCAATCAGACTTTTATGTATTGTCTAGAAAGTATCTTCATAATAAAATGTACGTCATTTATGTGACAATTTCTGCTAGAAAGAATTCTAGTTCGGCGGTATACCATTTTATTCTAATCGTTCATATCATAAATCGCGCCGATCACATATAAAACACACATTTAAGTATACGCAACCATCAAACAGCACGAAAGAGGATGAAGGTTAAAGACAAATACCAAGGGTGCCAAAATAAATACAAAACATAGAGTAAGGACAAATCCACCATAATAATAAATTAGTAGTGCTGACCGCTCACTTCGTTGCACGATATTATTCACGTTCTGCTCATCGCTGAGCAGTTTCTTTCGTTATATTCGTTGCTATCTATTCGTTGTTTCTCTCCTAGTTGATTTTTTTTCTCAAAGATGTAAAATTGTTCAATTAAATAATCTTTATTTTCTATATTATACATAACCTAACGATGAAAAATTGAGAACAAAAAAAGAAAAAAAATAGCATAAAGATTAATCTTGGTTGCTACATTTTTCTAAATTAATCCAGTTGAGATGAATCGAATGCGCTTACCAGTCGAATAATACGTTCGTTCAATCGTTGATAGCAAGCTTTTTTCGTCTTGATATAATGACCTTAAAGAATTTTCGCCATACCCACTTCGAATTGTGATTGTTCGCTATATTTGGATGATTAAGTACGGCGCGATTGCTAAATCTATTGTGGCAGTCTTCCATTGAATTATTGGGTCGCGGTACAGTAGTGATGACACGATTATAAATATTCTATAATTTGTGATCAAATTGTGAAGCTTCTTTCGATCAATTTCTAAGATAGTCCAGTATATTTCAAATTTCTCAAGGATGAAAAAATAAAAATTGCCTTTTCTTTTTGATTCACAAATCCACGCTTCTTTGAAATAATCAAGTAAATCGTCGACTTGATCGCCAATTAAGTCAAATCCAGTTATAACGTCGTCTACTGAAACAAAGGCAATAGTAAACAATTTTTTTACGACCCAACGACAACAATTAATCAATTTTGTTATATTTGGTAGTCAATCCTTTGTTTCGAAATTGCCGTGATGCGACTTGTGAAAAATGAAAGAGACATTTTATAGCAAATGTTTTAAATTTTTTGTGAATAGACTAAGAATGTATCTTTGCGTTAAACATTTAGCAATATATCTTTAACTAATTTGATTGCACCAAATTCGAAATCAGTCATAATTGATTCAGGTTGGAAATTGTCTGTTGCTAACACTTTTTCTAATAATAAATTATAATTTGTATGACTCTTATGAATTATAATAATCCATAGAGGAGACGAATAACTGCATTAGTCATCATTGTATGGAATATGAAGAATTGATAATATCGTCGAGACACACGTACATTAAAGAAAATTAGAGCAGAGAAAAGATACCCGTTTAATTCATAGTTTACTTTGAATGTACTATAAGCGAACCAATGTTTGTTTTGCTTTCGAATAGATAAATTAGTTTTTGTTGTAGAAATAATCAATTTTTTGTCTCCGCGCAAGATGAAGTCTTCATTACGATAGGTTTTTCCTAATTTTTCTGGTAAACGATCATCGACATCGACTGTTTAAGCAGTACTTTGCCGTCGAATCATTAGCATAAGTACTTTCTTTCTTGGAGGTTCACTAGTGACACTCAGTGAATAGGTACGTAAGACCGAAGAAAGAATTGTTTTGGGTGATTTATCTGTCGCTGTAGCATGAATTTTTATTTTATTTTTTCATTGAATAATGGAAACACAATCAGGTTGTGAAACATGATGATATAATGTTGGTTGTGAGAGAAATGCGTCCATGGATAAATTGGTATAATAATGAATTTAATTGATAAATGATTTTTATTTGAATTAATTGACTGATGTTCAAAGTGACCTCACGTTTACAATCTCGCGTGTGGCATCTTAATAGCAATGTTATCGTTGTTGTACATTCTACAGTATAGATTTAACACTTATAGAAGATCAGTGGTTTTCCCTTTTAGAGAAAGGATATTTTTCGATTTGGGACATTATTTTTTGAAAAATAATGTGTGATGAAGTTCAGATTGAGAATTGAAATATATATTTTTACTCAATCTAGTCTCACAATTCAGGACATTCGATCAGTATTATCTATGTCATATATTGTGTTGAGATTCATTATCTGAGTGGCAAAACTAATTATTAGTCGTTCAGTTTAACTCTATCGTGGTCGCATGTGATTAATATTTTTTATTGGTTCGTTTTCACAATAAAAGTCACATATCTTAGAACAAGAATCAATTGTCAATCGTTATGGTACATATCTATAACAATTTTTCATTTATATTATATTACCTTGATTGGTTATATTAAAAAAAACAATTAATTACGAAAGACAGTGAGATGTAACACATTGATAGCAAAGAAACAGAACGCAACAAAGTGTACCAGTATCATTCAACAGTCCTCTTTCTATTTCTAGTCTTTCATCGCCCTAGTGAATGTACACATCCAGTGAGCAATCAAAAAGTACTCACACTAGAAAATGCCACGAGAACTCATGGGTACTCGCCCTGTAAACTCGGGTGTTTTTCGAGTACTCATCGTACATTTCCTGAGTACTCTGACGAATTTTTGTAAAATACTCAGGCATCTATATTTTGTTCTGCATCTTTCTACGAGTCTATGGGGTATTCCATTTCAAACTGAATTCAAGAAAGAAAAGAATACCTCCACTTTTCACAAGACTGGGGGTTTAGGGGATTCTAGAATAATCGTAAACAATTCGAGACTGACGACGATGAACGCAGTTTGTTCACCGAAGTTTCACCATAATCTCTTCAGCTTCCACATTTTGCGTGCTCAAACCACAGCTGAACCGGCCAGCCAAACTCCATATAATCCGGAAACGAGAAGTATTCCGTTGATTTCAGATTTCTGAATTAATACATATATATATGAATTCAAAAGCTAGATTGAATCATTGAAGTTAATAGTTAGAAAGATTCTCTAGCCCCTCGTTTCGTTTGTAATGACGGGTCATTTTTTTGTTCAGAATTCAGATTGAAATCGTATACCCTACTGCATGCTTCTTACTGCGTTCAATTTATTTTATTTCAAAAACTGATGATAGAACAGTGACGTTCATGATAAAAATTTCAGAAACGAACTGTTTTGTAATCTTAAAATACCTTGTAATTAGCACATAGAGATAAAATATTTATCAACGAAATGCAAGAAAAGCTAAATAAAAATCTCTATTGAGAACACTACGACACATGTAAACACAAACACAAATGAGAAATAAACTATAGATCGAATTAAAATAAGCGATAGCAACACACATTCATTTTATATCGTCACAAAAAATACGAACATTTTAAATCGGAAACTATTATCATCAAGTAACAAATGAAAAATATATGAACTATCTTCTGTATGATAGAGTATCTTCAGATGTTGAATGTTATGTTTTTGGAGATTTTTTCTCATTCGTCTTGTTTTCATTAATTTTCAAAAAAAAACAAATTAAATTTTATCTAAAACGATATTTCATCTTTGATTTAAGATATCAAATTTAACAAATAATTTTGTATTTTCACATACCTATTTGCTCTTACTCGAGAGGTGAATAGCTGCAATGAAATGGATTTGCTTTTCTATTCTTTAAATAGTCAATTGACTACGGCACATGAATGACTCGTCACAAAATTTCGGTTCATTATACAGTACTTCTTAATTACACAATATTACTTTATTTTCATGCATCCTACTGCATAGATGTTTTGTTGAATGCGTTAGAAAAAACGACGATGAGTACTATGTCGAGTACTCGTATTTTCGTGTAGGAGTAATTCTTAGGGAGAAAACTCACCGGAGTACTCGTCATAGTACACGAAAAGTATTGTTACACATAAAATGCATCGAGTACGCGCTAAACGAGTGCTTTCACTAGGATCATCGTGAGCTTATGGTTTGTTACTATGAATTTTTGGCGGCATTGAAAAACAATTATTTTTCAATTTTGAGTTAGTATTGTGTATGTCATTTACGTCAAATATAGCTTGAAAATGACTTTTCTTGGTTCTAATTATATTTTTATTCTTTTATATTTGAAGAAACGGATAGAGTTTTGTATTCTTTTTTCAGATAGTAAATTTCAGAAGAAAGATGAGCGAAACTAATGAACACAGTAGATTGATTCTTCCATCTGAATTAAGTTCATCTACTTCAACTACAGAAGTAACACTTTCATGGTCTAATTTGTATGTTGAAACCAGAGACTCTGGCTCTTCCTGTTGGTCATCGATTTCATCAAGCTGTTTTCGGAGACATAAAAAAAAACAAGAAAAATCTCGAATCATACTCCAAGATGTAACTGGAAATGCTCGAACAGGTCAAATACTAGCGATCATGGGAACATCTGGTGTTGGTATGTTATCAAGTTTAGTTTAATTTTACACAAAGTTCTTTTTAATGTAGGGAAAACGACGTTGATGAACGCATTGAGTGGTCACCTTGGTGATAATTTGGTGGTTCCTTCAGGAAATGTCTATCTAAATGGATTTCCGACAACAGATACAGAAAGACGAAAAAGTGGTCACATTGGATATGCTGAACAACAAGAATTTTTCATCGATACCATGTCACTTGAAGAACATCTCATTTTTCAAGTAAAAATGATACTTAGCCTTTTAGCTAGGTCAACTAATTTTTTTACTATTGTGAATTTTGTTTTTATACCAGGCTATGCTGCGGTTGCCTTCTGAATTGACAGATGACGAACGTCGTTCGCGTGTAAAAAATACGATAGCCCAATTACATTTGAATAAATGTATGAAAAATACTATCAATCAGCTTTCTGGCGGTGAGAAAAAAAGACTTGCTCTTGCCAGTGTATTTTTAACTGAACCAAGTGTTCTCTTGATTGATGAACCAACATCAGGTTTAGACTCGTATTTAGCTATGCATATTATGCGTACGATTCATTCGATGGCATTTGAACAAAGAAAAACGGTTATTGTCGTCATTCATCAACCAACAAGTTCTATGTTCGATCTCTGTGATATAATTTTCTTGTTGGTTAAAGGTGGACGCCAAGCTTTCTATGGTACGAAAGATGAAGCTTTAGAATTTTTTATTAAACAATGTCATCTTTCACCCTCGTCGATAGATGGTTTTATTGAACAGTTGGCTGCACCACCGAATAGAAACGTCGATGAAGATACAAACATACAGACACAAGTGGCTGACCAATATGCTAGCTCTGAACAAGCAGTAGCACTGAAAGAAACGATCGAACATCAACTTACATTAGGAAATAATACGATTCTCACAGACAGAATGAAATTATTTAAAAATCCTACATTTGGACGTCAAGTGAAATGGCTTCTCTGGCGTTCATTCGTGTCCGATACTCGAAATTCTGTGCGCACAACTTTTGTTCTCTTTCGCACGGTAGTACTGACATGCATCTTTGGTATTGTATATTTTCAACTATGTCGTTCGGGTCATTTTATGCAAAATGTCAATGCTGTTAGCTTTACTGTTGTTGCTCTTACCGTTAATGCAAGTGCCTATGTCATTCTTAGTACCATGCCCATTAATAATAAAATTGGTATTAGAGAAAATCATCGAGGGATGTTTAGTATATTAGCTTACTATGTTTCTGTTGTCGTGCACGATTTTCCAATGTTAATTACTTTCCCATTGTTGGTTAATACAATCATCTACTGGATGTCTGGTATGGATAACACGTGGTCACACTATTTATCATTTATTGCTGTTGGTATTCTTGTAAGCAACACAGCATCGGCATACGGTCAATTTTTTGCTTCATTTTCGAGTACAATTGAAGGTGCAATCAGTGCATCGGTTCCTATTCTACAGACATTTACAATCCTTAGTGGTTTTTTTTTGAGTTTGACACATATTCCTACGGCGCTTCGCGTTCTACAATATATTTCTCCTCACTATTATGCTTATACAACATTTATGATACTTGAATGGAAAACTGGTAGTATTACTCATCAACTGAACTGTTCTCGTTCTGAAAATTATCTTGAATCGATCAATCAAGTCTCATCTTATAATTATTCCCGGGGTGAATTTTGCAGTCGTATTCTTCGCCATTCAGGCGACAACATAGATGGTCGATACTTAGCATTCAATATTCTTATGTTAGCTCTTCTTTTTGTAACTTGTCACATCTTGGCTTTCTTGGTTATATTCTATCGAGCTAATCGAAGATACGTTTTTGATTTCTTGTTCAAGAGCAAAACCTCTTTGATGACCGACTATAAGCCTTTCACATAGTTCATAAACAAACTGCCTTTTCCCGCTGTAAGTCATGTGCTCATTACAAACACTTTATTTACTCTTTATTATACAGCAACGCATCTGACTTTAATTGATCAATGTGCTTCTTTTCAAAGAAGATTGATGCTAACTCCGTGATTTTTTGCGTTCAAATCTATTAATAAAATTTTTTGATATGAGAGATTTATTTATTTGTTTTTGTAAACGATCTGACTCAAAAAGATTGGCGTCACTAAGATGTGGTGTGTTGTAACATCTCAGAAGTGAATATTAGACGTAATTGTATCTACAGAACATACATACCATATGCTAATTCTACTGAACCGAATTCGGTTAATTTCGTGCATAATCTGCTAGAACTTTTCTAGGAATTTATAACGTTGCTAAAAGTATGAGTTGTAATATCTTTTATTTTAGAGATAGAAATATTTCAGTTAGACATCATACTGCAAGCAAGTAAGTCAGAATCCCATGCAATTCTCAGGGTCAATTTAACTCTCGATAACAAAAATTTTAAAGAATTTTGTCGTGAGGCGAATTATGAGAGCAGCGTAAGTGTTATATAGTTATGCAGTGTCGCACACTAAGTTATGATGATCGATTTTATGAGTTTTTTTCCTCTCGACACAATAATCACTATCAGTATGTGTTACAGTGATGTTGCTAGTATGCACACTCGACATATATGTGTTATCCTCTATCATCTTCTTTAATCTTTATCTGTTTTCTCTTCTCTTCTCTCGTCTCTTGTCGTTCCCGCTATATATTTCATGTTAATATAGAGTTAAGGACATTCTTGTTAAATAAAACTAGTATACAGGTTGCACGCACACATACATCTCTCGCACACACACACACACACACACACCCCAAACTGTTTACTTTCCTTTTGAATTCTGTTCATTTTTGTTTGTCACAAGCACTTTAAAAACTGCTCTAACATGAGTATTCTTAGAAACGATTGAACTCGTGCACTTATGCAAGAGTAAACACTCACTATAAAAATTAAACTAAAACTAAAGAGCGCAAGTTTGAAAAGTCTATCATCTTCGTATTCATTGTTCGAAAAAATATTTTATAAATTTTATTTTAATGTACTCTAGGGCATTTACTGAACAAAGGGTACCCGAAAAAGTACCCTGCTACTAGTATGTCTTAGTAACTTTATGATACGTGAGTACTTAAAAGTACTTTTAGGTACCTTTTATGTACTCAGATAGGTACCCTACTGAAAAGCAACTAGTAAATGGGTACTTGAAGGTACTGATCAAGTACTCAACTGGGTACTATTGTACAGTATGCTTAGGTACCCTGTCATCAAAATTGCAGCAGGTTGATGATCGAACCTAATCTTCAAACTTTTTAATTTTTTTTCTCAAAAACAATTTATTAATTTTTTTTAATTTTATTTAATGAAATTTGTCCAATTCCCAAACTCTAGCAGGTCAAATTTGGGGATCTAACCGTACTTAAGTTGGTCGAATCTCGATCCGACCACTTCAGGGTAGTCCGATCTTAATTTACGATTAAGATCGGCATGTTCTCGACTAATAAATAGTCAAGAAAAAATCTAGAAACAAAATATGAAAATAGTTTCTTTTCTTATGGTTTACCCAGTTGTTTATAAGGAGCCGTTTACGCAAAAGAAAACGGTGAATGAACAGTTGCTACACAGAACGCGACAAATCTAGGATACCCTGTAGAGCTTTCCTCAGTAAAATTACAGGTGCGGATACCCATACAAGTACTTGTTCAGCGAAACATACTGCATGGGTACCCAATGCAGTACCTACATCAGTATGGTTACTGAGAATTTTCTAAGTACCCTAAATAGGTACCCTGGTGTGAGTTTCTCAGTATATGGATACCTTGAACTCATGCAGTACATCCCCTAGACGGGATGTTTCTATTTTATTTTAAATAAAATGCATAACAGCACGGTATAAAGTTCAGAACAATTATTGCGATCATATCAAAAGATATTTCAAGTTACGAAATGTGTATGAAAAAATCTTTGGTTTCGTCAAAAGACAATGATTTTCTTCAAGCAGATAAAAGAAAATAAATGATAAATTCATTTTTTCTTCGACATTTTTCCTTTTATTTATCTAAAAAAATAGAATGAATCTAAGTGACACTGAAATTCAATAAGAAAATTTTCCATGAGTATATACTAAACATCTTTCTATGGAAGTCCGATAACTAGTGTATTTCAAATCTGCCACATATTAAATAGGCATACGCTTTTAAGTTTCCTATTTTTATTGCTGAATAGCGTTGAGCATAGCATTTGTAACTCCACAATGGGACCACAATCCAGTGATCTCTGTGCCGGTCGCAAGTCCGGAAAAAGAAGGAGCGTTAGGCGGAAGGAGTGCAGACGCCGTCGTCTGTCAAAAAGAAAAGACGAAAGAAACCAACCATCAACGACGACGATAATCGAAAACCATACCGACTCGGACGTCACCCGGGTGAACAAGGTCCGCGCCTTCTGTCGAGTAACCAGGACAGAATCGAAAACTTGGCTACTGGAAAGACAGGAACAACAGCAGGACAGGCAATTACAAATAAAACAACAGCAGTAGTAACATCAAATGCCAAAATTGGTCAACGACACTGGAAGATAACGAAAGACACACTTACAGTGGGTACCTGGAACGTTCAAACGTTATGGGCAACAGGAAAGCTAGAATTGCTAAGAAATGAAATGAAACGTTTCAGATTCGATGTCATCGGGGCATATGAAGTACGCTGGACAGGAAAAGGAGAAACACTAAGTGGTGATTTCATCTGGCCAGGAGAAGATACTACACACACCAGAGGTGTAGGAATGCTATGAAGTGCAAAAGCAAAAAAAGACGCTAATAGGATACAATCCGATTAGTTCGCGAGTAATCACGGCTAGATTCAATGCAACGCCATTCAAACTTACAGTAATACACGTGTATGCACCAACATCAGCATCATCAGATGATGAAATCGAAATATTCTACGATAGCATCGAGCATGCACTAACACAAATGCCAAAAAGGACATAATAATCGTAACTGGTGATTGGAATGCGAAAATTGAGAGTGATAATACACACTGGGAGTCACTGATGGGTAGATATGGATATGGAGATCGAAATGAACGGGGAGATCGACTCCTAGAGTTCGCAGCACTAAACAATCTGTACATTTGCAATACACGATTTCAACAGAAAGCAAATAGAAAATGGACATATATAGGCATCACCACATGGCGTGCACAAGAATATGATTGGTCTAGTGCTGATCCAAAAGAGATGGAAATCATCAGTCACGAATTGTCGAACATTTCAAAGTGCAGATATTAGCTCAGACCATTCACTAGTGCTATGCAACATCAAGTTAAGATTGAAAAGGCGATGCATCAAGCCGCACCAGCATCACAGACCTGATGTAAGTCAGCTCAATAGTCAGAAAGTGAGAGAAGTCTATCAAACTAGACTAGTCAACAGACTCCAAGACATAGATACACAGTGCAACCTAGAAAAGCATGCAGCAAAGGTCGAGGAAGCAATTAAAGATCCATTACAGGCAACTGTATCAGCTACAAGGAGAGTCAAAAAAAACCGTGAATCTCAGAACAAACCCTCAACCTAGCCGAAGAAAAACGTAAGATGAAACAAATAAAGAACTTTTCGGCAGAAAACGGCCAGCTATATAAAAACTTGTGCAACAATGTAAAGAAATCGGCACGGCACGAAAAAGATAACTGGATCCAGGATAAATGCGATGAAATTGAAAACGGACTAAAAATTGGAAATACTAGACAAGCCTACAGCTTAATAAAAACACTGAAAAATAATTTTGTGTCACGAATAACGATGATAAGAAATCAAGAGGGTACATTGTAACAGTCAAAAGAGGACGTTAAACAACGATGGACACAGTACTGTAGCGAGCTATATATGGACGAAGGCGGAGGAGACGAGATAGTTAAGGAACTCGAAGGTATCTTCCCTTCATGTAAAGAAGATTCTCAAGACATCCTATATTCGGAGGTAGAAGAAGCAAGTCGGACACTAAAATCAAACAAAAATCCGGGTTCAGATGATATCACAGCTGAGATGATTCAAGCTGGAGGTGAACAGGTTACGCACGAAATCCATTCACGATGTAACAAAGCATGGCATGAGTGAGTAATACCAGAAGAATAGGGGAAATCAATCCTCACACCAATACCAAAGAAAGAAGATCTCAGCGAATGTGCAAACTACCGAACAATCTCACTCATAAGTCATACAGGAAAAATCCTACTGACAGTACTGTTGAACAAACTCAAACGCCATCTGGATCCATCCTTGTCGGAAGAACAAGCAGGATTCAGATAGGACAGAAGTACTGTCCATCAAATTCTAATACTCAGGTTGCTTGCAGAAAAAGCAAAAAGACAAGAAAAAAAGATATATAACTGCTTCATCGACTTCCAAAAGGCTTTTGTCACAATAAAACACAAAATTATATGGGCTGTTCTCAAGTCATACAGAGTCAAAAACAAAATGATCACACTGCTAAAACATATATGAAAAAGCACAATCAACCGTTCGAGTAGAAAAGGAAACAGGAGAATGGTTCCAAGCAAGTGTTGGAAGCAGGCAAGGAGATCCTTTGTCAGCACTACTGTTCATCGCATTTCTCAAACGAATAATGGACAAAGCAATGCAGATAAGTCGAGGAATAAATATCAGTGGGACACTAGTGAGCACCCTACGGTTCGTCGATGACATTGATGTCTTAGAAGAAGATTGTGACTCACTTCATCAACAAATAGAACAATTAAAAGTAGCAGCCGAAGAAGCAGGACTACTCATCAATACAAAGAAAATGAAAACACTGGTATTTGGCGACAGAAATATCGAAAAACGTGTTCAAATAGCGGGAAACATAATCGAAAATGTAGAACAGTTCGAGTATCTTGGTAGTCTACTCACATGGGACAACAGCTATAGCGATGAAATCAAGAGAAAAATAGGCACATCAATAGGGGCAATGACTGCACTAAAAATTATCTAGGATAGCAAGAAAATAAAAATAGAAAATAAAATAACAATCCTAACAACATATGTTTACAGTGTGCTATTATACGCTTCAGAGACATGGACAGTGAAAGGAGCTGATAGAAAGAAACTATCGGGATTTGAAATGAAATGCTATCGAAGGATATTAAGAATCAGCTGGAAAGATATAATAAGAAACACAGACATAAGAAAACAGATAGCAAGAAAAGAGACCATCATAGATAACATAAAAAGAAGAAAGCTGCGATTATTTGGCCATATCTGTCGAATGGACGATAACAGGCTGATAAAACACACTGTATTCGCAAGAATAAACGGAAAACCTCGAAGAGGACGTCCATGTAGAGAATAGATAAACGATATAATCGAATGGTGTGGATACAGCGGGCAAGACTTGTTCCACCTTGCGCAAGACCGAAGGAAATGGAAAGAAATTATCCGAATAGTGATTGGCCCCAACGGGCGATAAGCCTATGGGACATCATGAATCATGAATAGCATTTGTATGTTTGAATCTACTATGATCAAGCCATGTCAATTACATTTTAGAATATCAGAATAATTATCAGAAACACTAAAAGTAATTAAATCAAATTATGTTAATTGGAAATTTTTCGTTTTTAGGCAACTACACTGTAAAAAAAATCGTAGAATAAGAAACCCTAGTACTTTCGGAAATTTTTCCTGAACCCTTAAAGGGTTTAGAAAAACAGCATAAACCCTTTAAGGGTTTTTGAGAAAAGGGTATTTTAAATCAAAAATGGTTTATACCGAGAAACGGAAAGGTTCATCAATATACCCTTCATAAAAAGGGGTTTATTATTCTACGATTAAGAGTTAATTATTCTAACTTTTCAACAAAGCGCTCTCTCACTGTCACCCGAAATATTTTGCTCCGGTGGTTATTTCCAAAAACAAACATATTTCGATCGAGAAGAATTCTATCAATCAATATGAAGTTTTCGAAAATTGAGGAGTTCTAAAAGTCAGAATATTAAATCTTTCACAATATTTCTCTTTTAAATTTAGCCATTTCTAAGCGTTATTTTTCAGTCCCTAAAAAAAAAAACTCAGAAAAAAATTCTAAAATGTATTTAAAATTTATTTTACGGAATCCCTATCAATTAAATAATTTATTAAATATATAATATACTTTTAAATATCGATATATCTGTAATATGAACTATAAAATTTAAATGATCTACCTTAATAATATTTTTAAAATATTTTTCAATTTCAAATAAATAAGCGGTACAGAAATCTATTATTTCGATTTGTTCATCAAAATAGTAAGCGCCTATTTAGAAGAACATCATTTAATTTAAGAGTACGTTTCATACTATGCAACTTGAGCGCGAATCTGATCGAATGGATAACAAGTTAGACAATCATGGATTATGTCATATGTTCGAACCCAGGCGACAACAGTAAGTACATCACTTAATTAATTATAAATCTATGAAAGTACAGGGGGTGGCAAAATTATAGGCCCCCCTACGCTCAATGCAAAAAAATTAACGTTTTATTTTAAGGAGAGGTATATTTATCTGATGAATATCTTCGATAGAAACATGGGTATATGTGATATACTAGTATGTCTTTATTCTTTGTTTGCTTCTTTTATACACGTGCAGAAATCAACAGAAAGAAAAAATCCTGTGGCATAATTATAGACCCCCTTCAATTCTTTTTCTTTTCTTTTATTTATTATAAGTATTTCTTTCCAAAATATAGAAACGCTAATAATGGCTAGCGAAACCTCGACGTTTGATTACTTGTCGAATTCTTTTGGACATGGATTCAAACAGTTTTTGTATTGTATCATGTGAGATTTCCAGCCATGCCACTTGCAATGTGGGTTTTAATTGTTCAGTGTTATTAATATTAAACTTTAAAAGTTTATCGTTAAGGATGGACCAAATATTCGCTATTAAATTTAAATCTGCGCTATTTGCTGGCCATGGAATAGGATGCAGTTTTTTTTCTTCAAATATTTTCGCGTCTTATTTGATACATGTGGACGAGCATTATCTTGCTGCAGCAAAATTTTACGAGATGGTCGCGGTAAAAATTTTTCAAATGCTGTTGGTAAATGCTTGTCGAGTATATCAATATATTTATCGGAATTTAACGACCCATTGTAGAAAACAATCGCCTCAAGACCATGACATGTTAGATAAGACCATATACCAACACCACCACCTTTGTGTACCTCGCGGTTGACATCGTCCAAATCGTTTTAAATCATTTCGAAATCGACGTATATAGATTCGATTCTTTCGATTCAATATTTCAAAATTACTTTCATCAGTAAATATAACCTTTGACCAATCTTTTTCAGTCCACGTTAAATGTTGGTAGCACCATTGAAGTCGAGCATATCTTTGCCTTTAATTTATTCGAGGTTTTCTGGGTGCAATATAAGAAATCATGTCGAATTCGTTGAGGATGTGGCTCACTGTTTGACGACTAGCAGTTAGATTGAAACTTGTTTGAACGTAGCGAACAAGATTGTTTAACGAAAGAGTATCATCACGAACTTGTTGTAACTTAATTGCTCGTTTTTGACGATCTGTTAGCTTTGAACGGCGTCCGCCTCCAGGTTTCGTAGCGACTGTATGAAGTTTATTGAATTTTCTAATAGTGTGACGAAAACAATGCCGAGAGATGTTCAATTTTCGAGAAATTTCATGTTGAGACATCCCACTGTCACGTAAAAGAATAATAGTTCTTTTTGTTGCAATATCAACAGCTTTTCGTCCCATTATTTGTTTAATGAAATCGCACAAAGTTTATTACAGTGAATGGATAGCGCGAAAGTTGACTTCGAATGAAATCAAGCGAAGAAAAGAAAAAAAATTGAAGGGGGTCTATAATTATGCCACAGGATTTTTTCTTTCTGTTGATTTCTGCACGTGTATAAAAGAAGCAAACAAAGAATAAAGACATACTAGTATATCACATATACCCATGTTTCTATCGAAGATATTCATCAGATAAATATACCTCTCCTTAAAATAAAACGTTAATTTTTTTGCATTGAGTGTAGGGGGGCCTATCATTTTGCCACCCCCTGTATATGTATATATACGTATATATACGATCTGAAACGCAAACTGAATTGGAATAATAGCAAAATAATGATTGTGTAAACATCTAAAATACCTTTTTTAAAATAACCTTTAGGTGTTTGTCTGACTAGAAAACGCATTTAAAATGGTTTATTAAAGGGTTTAGGATAATTTTAAAAATGGTAAAAAGGGTTTATTATACGTTGCACTTTCATCAACCCTTTTTGGGTTTATTATTCTACGATTTTTTTACAGTGTACATCAAAACCTTCTACACCATTCTTTTTATTACAAACACTTGTACCTGTTTGTCTTATAAATAAAGCAAGTGGCATTAGTATATATCAGTTATGTACTTACCTTTAGGAATTCTTTTATTTAGGTATTGGTACTCGGAATAATCAAATCGTTGGCAATTGCTCAACAAACTTCGACTAGCTGTCGGTGAACCCTATCACATGAAAATTAGTCATAATATTTTTCTGTAAAATTTTGACTTATTTTATTAGATCTAGTTCATCTTTTATTATGCATGATGCATATTGTAATTTTTTTATGCATAACATATCATACTCTAGAAGTCATGTGTATTGGATATTCAGAATCACCTTTGTATAATAAAATTTACGATGTTTTTTTTTCTAAAAGTCCTATTTAAGTTTTTGCAACAAAATGAAAGAATAAGTCTTGAATATGCATTTGATTTATTAAAAAAATCTAGATATTCAATTTTCTAAAATGATTTTTATATCTATAGCAAAACAAAATAGGTGTTACCAATCAGCGCCATCTAATATAGGATCCATCGCTTAGAGGAATCTTCTGTGTGTGTGTACATACAAGTGTGTGTATATACCTTATTTCAACTTGGCATTACTTGGTGAAAGGAAATATGCTGTAGGCGTATCGATAACGCATGGAACACAATCATATTGTTGTGATGTTCGCCGGAGGAGTTTTAATTAATTGCGATAAATCATCGATTTTCTTGATATTTTCAGCAGATGTGTTTGTCGGATCTAAAACAGAAATAATAATCGTTTGATGTACAGTTTGGGCTATTCAAAACAGTGCATACTACTTCAATTTAACAAACTGATAGACATGAAAACGAAAAGAGGTAAATGACAGAGGTGTTTGACGTAGCACAAGTAGCAAAAATGTAATTACACCCACATTCATACATAAAGAGTTACAAGGTTGTTCAAAGTCATGCTTCGATGGAGCATGAAAACAGTGATTAATCCGTAACAATTTCTCTAGTTACCTTGTTGATATAAATGTCGCTTATTTTATGATGAACACAAATTAAAAAAGGTACCTACATACAAATAACATTGAGACATGTGAGTATTTTTTCTGTAATATTTAATATGAGATAAAATTGTTTGAAATCTTTCACATTGTTACAAATTAAAGAGAAATATTTTTTGCTATTTGTTGATCTTCAAAGAATACCACGAGATCTGGGGTACATGCAACCCTTCTATATTCTCAGTAAATGAATGCATATATTTGTTCTAGACTCTAAGCTATGAACCCAAGTAAGCAAAAAAAAGGGAGACTGCCGACATGACTAGTCAGAAATGTCCGCAGCTTCCGTCAAATCTAGTCTGAAACGTCTTGCATACCCGTCTTGTCTAATCAGCTTAATGAGGAGTGTCTTACAAACACGTCTGTACTAGTCTGAAATGTCCTTGAGCCCAATCATGTCTAGTCCGTGTTGTCTGTTGACCCAGTCCAGACTAGTAAGAAGATTAAAAAAGAGGTTACACACTGGATTTGATCATCCAGTCCGACAGTGTTCGAGATATGATGGACATGCTGACGGCACACTAGGACACTGAGATAGACTGCCGTAAGTATATATGGTCTAAACTTATTTATTGATTCCCATCCATGCATAGAAAATCAGAAACAAACCGACTTAAACGGTATTGGCTTGTCTGAAATGTCTTCAACAGCTATTAGGACTACTCTCTAAAAAAAAGGTATTCTAGGAAACTCAAAATAGGCTTCCGATAGTAACAAAATCGGAAACGTATTAAAAGTTTTCGAGATTTCATTCGTCTCGTTCTGCATCGAGAATCACCAGATCGCTATAGCCCGGGCTGATCGTTACGCCCACCAGAAGCTGCAGAAACCGACAGGGAAACGCCTGAAGATTACCGTACTCAGAAAGAAAAGAACGGTGCCATACTGAACCTTTTAGAGTTCTAGATTTGGGTATCATTTTCAGAACCATTAAAGGTTCAAACAAAATCTGGTTCAAGCTGGAACTTTTTCCTATTTCTTCCGAAAATGGTTCTATGGTAGTAAAATATAGTCCACCACACTCAATTAGTCTAGTACTCTAGGCTAATGTTTTATCCAACCGTTAATTTCATACTTAATCACTTATTCCTAATCTTCATCCTTATTTCTATCCTTAACCGAAATTCTAACATTAACCCTTAATTCTATCTGTTAGCGCTCATGAGGAGAGGCGAACACAGTTAACGAATGTGTTATATTCTCTCTGTTTATTCTGTTAGAAAACAAACGTTTATATACGCACACGAAAGCAGAGACAAGAAAATAGAGGAAAACGGAGAGAGAGAAAGGAAAAGGAAAGAAAAGAGAATAGATAGAATCGAGATATACGTTACAGTAGAACGCACTGTAAC